ACAAGAGAGAAGATTTAATTTTTAGTGAAATTAAAAAAAAAATGCTGAAAATTGAACTAATATAGATAAGATAAAAGATAATTAGTCAATATTATTTATAAATTTAAAATGATTTCATTACTTCTTTAATTATCTATAAAACCTTTGAACCACAGAAGTTTCCCAAAGTATTCCAATTGCCCCGTATCAATAATTTCTTGTCTGTAATTACTGGCAGCACGTTGAGTAACAAAGAAGTTATAGGAGCTTGGCTTTGTTCTTTGTAAGATTGTCTAATAAAAAAGGGAAAGCGAATGAAAGGGAAAACCTAAACTATTAGTTAGCCAGTTCTTTTTTCTCATTTCTCTTTTTTCTTTTCATTCTGTGCTCTTGACATTCTAAAAAGTTAAAATTAAATATATAAACAGCGATGATCCTTTAATTAATAAACTTTTCCTGAATGATTCTCGAGAGTGCTTAACCCATTTCCAAGAAACAATTTTTAGGTAACACTGACACAAATAAGGAAGAAGTAAATGATCTCTGCCTAAACTTTTTTCTACTTGCTAATTTGATATACAGATAATTTCCAACTGTTGTACATAAAATATTACAGTTAACCTCTTGCACTAGGAATAATATGCCGGTTTGACGATGGTAAATAAAAGTTTAATTAGCAGATTGAAAGAGGAATACGAAACCAATTCGGGTTTAACCCATTGAACTGCACATAGCAAAATCCTAACACGGAAATGATTCCTAATTTTACTTGTGACATTGGCTGTCTGAATATAATTAGCATAGTCGGTTTTTTGAGTTAAGCTGCAGCTCAGTGGATATAAAATGAACTATATGAAACTGCACTGAGATATATGCCATGGCTACTCGAAGAAGTTTGTTACAGGTGCTTACACAACAGCCGCAGCAAGATGCCAACAGCATGATAACAAAGGAGTACTAGGAAACATCTCATCTGCAATGAAAAGAACACTCCCAAAAAGGATGACATCTTATGTAGATATGCGCCATCCGGCAAGGTCTGCGATCTTTCCACTGCTCTTCTTTGCAATGCCCACCTAGAATGAATATTAGAATATAATCACGTAAATATGTGGCCTGAAACGTAATAAGATTGGATGTGCTGAATTCTTCATAAAGGGGTTCAAAAATTGGAAAAACAAAATGAAGAAAGGAAAAACTTATCCAAGCTGAATAAATGGCATGTCTAGTCCCACAACTGAGAATTTGATTTGGTCAAGCTCTTATATTGAAACCCAATATGGGTTGACCATTGAGCGAAAGCAGTAGTCCTTAAGAATAAAACATTGGAACCTAAATTTATAATATGTCATCGCGGCCACAAAGATGAACCTCTTATTAGATTCCTATTAATAGACAACCTTCTGTAGAAAGCATTTTGGAAGGAAGTAACAGTGGTGCCAAGAACATACTTGCAAGCAATGAGATGGAAACTATGTTGCAACAAGATCGTGTTCTGAGAAATATTTCCAGTTTTCTGTTTATGGCAAGCTAACAAAAACATGGAAGGAAAGAATTGTGTTCCTACTCTTGATGCATATAATATTTCAAAGGAATACGAGTAGAGCATATTTTCACCTTAATTTACTATGTTTTTTAGGATCAAATCAACAATAATTAATCCCAGAAAGCCGAAGGTGCAAAAGGGAAAAGAAAAACAATTTAACTAACATAATAAATTTAGAGCAGCATGAGGCAGATAGATACCATCATCATCCTGTGTGAGCAGCAGAGCACCATTAAGGCTGTATAGGCAATAATGCTGCAGAGCTGCATCAGGAACTTTGGGTTTCATTTCTAAGGGCTCTTGTTAAAACTGCAAGAGGTATTGAGTTATCAGAAAATACTAGAAATAAAAGTAGAGGAAGCAACGAACAAATAAGAGCAGAAAAACGAAAAGCAACTACTATAAGACTTTTGAAGTTGCTCATTACATGACATTGATAAATCTATGTTTCCTTGTTTGGAAATAATATTTTTTAAGGTGCGTTTATCATTAGTACGATGACTTCATAAAGGGTAAGACAAACAAGTCACGCCATGAACCAAAGTGAAAGACTAGTATTCAATTTGCATTAGTTTAAATTCAGCCAATCTACAGCCAATCTAAGAAGCTCAAGTTCTTAGTCTCAAATAAATAAACTTATTTGAACTATTATTTGCAGACAATGACTGACATAATCCACTAATTACGCATAGCCAGGATTTTCATACAACAGCAGTATAAGCATTAATATACTTCGATTAACCTTGCTAGCTAGGGGTAAATCTTGATTTAAAGCTATCTATCTCTATAGGAGAATAAGCCAGAAATCCTGATGGAACTGAAATCTAACACTATATACGTCATTCTTTACGAAAAGTTGCTTTTCTTATAGTTCTGCAATCCTTATTCACAAAGAGAGGACTTGAGGTGGAAAAGAATATAGGAAGGAATGTCGCTGCTCAAAACATTCCACAAGAGGTTCTTTCATTTAGCTCTCTAAAGATTCAACTTTTTATAGTTTAGATACAGTAATAATAGTTATAAGATAAAAGTCGAAATTTTCACACTTCCTGGATTAGTTCTCCTAGATCATGTTTAGCTCTTATAGATACCAAACTTCAGCATTTATTTAGCATTGCGTCTCAAGAAGTTTCTTAACAGGTCAGGCCCAAGCTAACAATACAACTTCAAATAAAGAAAATAGGAACTGGAATGTGTGCATATGCACAGGCATATTTCAATCTTCATAACATCTTTTTTAATATTTGCATATGAATATACCAAATACCATTTCATCATCCAGTGTTCTGTAACATGGCAGCATGTCTATCATCCAACGTCAATGCTTATACTTCCGGAATCCTGAAAGAGTCAAAGTAATAAAGCTCAAGCTCAATTTAGGAACCTCTTGAAGTTAATATCACTTAAGAACCAACAAAACGTTGGAGCCTATTATGATATTGAATGGTGTGGTCCACGCTTTCCCAATGCTGAAATCCTATGATATCAAACTCAAATGAGGCAAGATTAATTTTGGTCATCTTTACATACTAGAAGACTAGCAAAAGTGAAAATGCAGGCACACATCTAATCAAATATAACAGCATAACGTATTTTGAAATTAAATGTTTACATGTTACTTTATCAATTGGAAAAGGATTGAACATGATCACCACAAGATGAGTTTTGCTTTATCAATACATTTGATTAAATTGTTCAAGGTTTATCATATATTGTCAATGTTTGTCAATCATATGTGAAGTTTTACTTGTGCGGGAAAAAATGTTAATTTCAGACAGCTTACTATTTGTTCTGTTGGTATCATTGGTATAGTCAAACACATCTCCAAAGTATTCCTGATTTTTCCTCGTGAAGAATGATACAAACTGGAAGCAACTCCAACTCCAATTAATGAGTTAGCGTACACCTTAGATTCTCAGGTTCTTCCTGGTAAGCAAAGTAGATCATTAATCAGAACCGGTGTTATTATACTGTTCAATAGATTGTCAAACAGAAATTATTACCTTGGAGTTGGAGTCTAGAGCAAATAAAGGAAGTGATGTAAGCAACATTTTGCAACTTTTCTGCAAGATTCCTATCACCTAGTGAATTACAAGAGAATAGAAGAATTAAACATCAAGTGCATAAAAACAATTTTAGAAAGGCATTTTGTCTTCACATTCACACAACACTTGAAGCCTCAACATCCTGGTCGTTGTTGCCATACTCTTCCTGGAGTATATTAATATAAGTTGTGATAAGAGGCCATTTTTACTTCTTTAATTTATTTATCATAACTAATAAAAGAAAATAAATCGATAATTCATTATTGTACGAAATGAGAAACAAACATCTATAATCATACTAAAAGTTAGCATGCAGAATTCGATAGGTTTAGACATACTGCAGTAACTAAGCTGCTGACTTTCCCTCTTAATAAAACTTCACAGGTTTATTGATTGCAGCCCTGTTGAGTTCAATCTCTTCTAAGCAAAGGGTGAATGAGGCAGAACATGGATCCAATGCACACCCTCTAGGGCTTTACCAGGATTCTTCGTTGTACTCTGGGGGTTCATAATGCCATCAGCATGCTGCCCAGCAAGATTGCTGGCACCAAATGGATTATGTGATTATGCCGATCCATTTCTGTACCAAATGAAAAAAGAAGCACCATTACGATGCAAAAGGTCAGGGATACGTGCATCCTATCAGGAAGTTAAAGTAGGCTCTTATTTGTTTGCGAGCCAGTTAACAAGTTAAGTTGTTAGATGAGAAATAAATTATTCTGATTAAATCAACCAAATAAATGAATTTTGAGCTTCAAAATTTACATATGCTACAAGCAGCTACCACCCAACGAGTAACATGTGATTTTTATTAATGCCTATAATGGCAAAACGAAGAGAATTTCTGGCGGGAATTGAGATTAACCGTTCACAGTTGGCAAATAGTTTTCTTGTGGGTTCTATGTTTTCTAAATCTTGGACTAGGCTTTTACCTTCATTATGTTGAAGGAGTTTAATGGTAAAGCGTAAAGCCATGTGTTTTACCTGGTCTTTTTGGGACAGAAGTAATCATATACTCAACATAAGCCTTAACTCAAACCAATTGAGTTCCAGCTCGGAATCTTTTGCCTAATTCTGCTTCCCGATCTATATGCTAAGATTCTTGGCAATCAAATCTAATTTGAAAAAGATATTCAAACATGTGCATTTATAGACCCATTTTACATGATACTTTCACTACTTTATATAAATAATTGGCATAAGTACATGTCATAGAAATTCTACTCAATTCTTAAATGCTGGAGCTACCTCTGCTAGAGAATAAAAGTTTCAACTAGAAGCAACCCAAAAGGGGAATGAAGGAATTAGTGTTCCTCGGCCTCTCATACAAGACTTATGGGTTTTTGTGGTTTGTGGAACTACCACTTTAAACACTCCTCTCCTCTCACTGTAAGCAAAAAGGGAACTAAATTAAACAAAAAGATATGAATGCATGCATAGAGTTGAACAAAAAACAAACGCACACAAATTGATCCTCTTATGCTATGTTACCACTGGATCTCAGAGGTTAATCACAACTTAATAAACCATCCAAGACCTAAAAAATCTTATAAGCAATTACATGATAAGGAGAAAAAGTTAGTCTATAAAAAAAAAAAAAAAAAAAAGATTTCTGACAAAGACAAGCATCGGCATCCATTTCGGGGGGGGGATTAAAGCGAAGCAACAAATAGCGACATTTTACTTGGACTTTCAAAAATCTTAGCACACAAGATGCTGTCCAGGACTACGTCTTCAATTAAACATACATAAGAAATTCCAAAACCCAGGAGTAAGAACAAAAACCAATTAAATCCAAACCAAAACCAAAGGAAAGCTGGTTAATTCATTCAGACTGGAACTTTCCAAACGAAATTCACAAGAAATAACAAATGGCACAAAGATGAACATAAAAATCGTAACAGCGTCCAATCAGTAATCAACAAATAGAAACAAGGCACGTGCATTCAATAGGATATAAAGAATAAAGCATAAGTAGAGACGGAAGATACCAAAAATGATAATGGCAATTGGATTTTTGAGCTGAAGAGGGCAAAGCGGCTATATATAAAGGTACAGAGATTGTTTGAATTCAGTTGGAAACTTAAAATGAAAAATGGAAACTTATGCGGAGAAACAAAAAGAAATGGGAGAGAGATGCTATGACGCGCACGAATCTTCGCTCTTTTGACTCCCCGCATATTCCACTTGTCCTAATGAAGCTTGCATAATAGTTTTTTTAGCTGGCCTATTTTTGTGTTTTTTTTTTTTTTTCTTTAAAGAAATAATAATAATCAATAGAATATGCTAAATTCAATTCTGGAAATTTATCCCACTGACATTTAAAGACTGAAATTTCAAAGGTCAGCTTATTTCCTTTTAAGAAATTATCATCTATCCTGAATCGCTTTTTATTAAATTTCTTTTAAAATTTTTGCATTGTCCCGTTGGCTGTTTAATTCGCCATTAATCTACAGTAATTTGCAAAGAAAAAAAAAACAAAAAACAATATCAAAATAAATTTATAAAAATTAGATTTCTATCTATGCATTGATATGGATATAAATTACATTTTTTTATTAAATAGTAAATATTTCTAAATTAGTTTCATAATAAATTTTAATTCTTAAAGAAAAAAATTTAACTACTATTTTTAATATAAAATATTTATTATTTAACTCCAAAATAGTTAAAAGATTTCTTCTTATCTTTGCAACCCAGTATAATTATTAAATCCACGCAATTAAATTTTTAATTTATGTGGTTTTTGATAATCTATACTACATAGATTATGTAGGATTATCGAATACAATTATTTAGTTTACTATCAAAAAAATAAATAATAATTATTAGATTTTCTTTCCCCTTGTCAACAAAACGCATGTAAATTTTTTGACTTAGTTATCCACATCCCTTTATATAGATTATATAGATTTTGCATTTTCACTTTCAAATTTTCTTGTAATTTATATGTAAAATTTCAGAAATTTGAATATTATCGATTCTCGGATCCTCTCCTCAGCTTCTGAGTATGTCTTGCCCTCCCTCTTCCTGGTTGCTTAAGAACAATTGAAAGTATCACTGCAGAGTAAAACATATGAACTCTTGTTACTGTACTCTTTCAAACATAGCCTTTTCAATGCAGTAAATGTCGAGGAAGAAAATTGTTCTTTCAAGAGAGCAAGGAATATTTTTTCAGCGCCCCAACGGAGAAAATTTTTTCGCCTTGACATGAAAAGCTTTCCGTTGGCTTAAAAGAAACGTTCGCTTTACATTCCTTACGTGACATGAGAACCCTCTGTGGTAAAGCCACTTCATAGCTAGTCCGAAGTCCATTAAGGCCCACTATGGCACAGAGTTTGGAAAAGGACGGTTAGCTTGCTAAGCTCCATTTTGCTTTTTTCTCTACAAAATTAGAAAAAAATCAATAATTGGTAATCCGAATTTTTTTTTTAGGTAAATTAAATCTACATTGTTGGTTTTTGTAGATCCATTTATTATTTTTTTGTTCTTTTTTGAAATAAAATTTTCACATGAGTTAGTCGGATGAATTTTGGGGAATTTGTAATGAAGAAATTAACTCTTATCATTTTTATTATTTTTATATATTCTTTTTTAGAAAAAAGAATTGTTGCGAAACAGAAATTTCAAATTTCCATTATTACATTCCTTCAATTCAATACTAACGTAATAAAAATCTGAAATTAATGAGAAGTTAGACGGGTACAACTTAATATAATGTGGTTTGGGGGGGCCAGAAAAATTTTATTATGGAACGTATTATGTATATCTTGGTCTTCAGGACCACCACCACTTTTTGTGTGTCAGATCATTTTTGAACATTATTATTATTTTGAGGTCACTATATTGATTTTTCCTAATTAATTGTTTCTGCTCTAACTCAAATTTTGTACTTAAGTCACAAAATTAATTTATTACTTCAAAGTTATAAACAACCTAGCTACTAATCAGATAGCTAACATGTAATATTTTAATATTAATCATAAAATAAAAAGACGGATATGCCTTTACTTTCCTTATAGTATGTGAACGCAATGTAACAATCCCACAAACTGTGACCCTAACATTTGACTGTTAATATAATTAGTTACAAGATTTAGATAATAGGTTTAACCATAAACATAAAAAAATATCGTTAGGTTTAGTCTTTTAGCTGTCATTCCAACTATACGTTTAGGTTTATCATTTGAGCTGTTTCATTCCAACTTTATCATTTTTGCTGATTGCAATGCAACGGGTCAAATCTAACCATTTTGGTGTCTATTGCTTAAAAAGTTAATAAGCTCCATGATCATACGGTTTTTCTGTTTCTAACTTTTATTTAATGATGCCCTGTGAGGGAGGGTAAAGAAAAGAAAGGGGGTTATTTGCAAACTTCTTAATTGATTTTTCGTCTTCATCTTTAGACGGTATGGCCAAGTCCCTTTAAGCACTTCGTGCTCAAAACTAGCCTTTCAATCACAGGATAGGAAGCTGAAGCTTGCGAGATTTGCCCTTTGCAAGCCTTTTTACCTTGGCCTGGACTGATGATAGCATTTCGGGCAGAAAATGGAGACTCTGCTCTGATTCTTGCAAATAGACTCTTTTCTGGAATGGTGTTCAAGAAGAGCGTATCTCAATTCGGAAAGCTAAGATTCACCAAGGACTTGAAGGCGTCTAGTAAAGAGAACTCTTTCAAATCCACTCAGGAAGTCCAGCATTCCCGACGGAAAGGAGGTTTTGGAGTGATCCAGCTGAAGCCAGTGATCAATATCAGTTAATGAGTTTAGGGAAAGACATGCTAAAATAAAGACCTTCCCATGCCAATTCAATGCAGTTGAGGAACCAGAGTTCCATTGGCTAGCTGGGACTATTCTTAATTGGCTCCTCAAGAATAGACACAACTTTGTCAGCCTAGTAATGTTGTATTTTAATATGTAATATAAAATACACTTATTTGTTTTTTTTTTATTTTTTTTTTATTCTTGAGGAGAGATCCAAATTAATTATTTAAGAACTTTTTTTTTTGTTTTTTATATTTATAAATATATAATTTATATATATATATTGTTTTAAATTTCATATTATGGTATACTTATATGCTGGAAATGCAAGGAGTTTGCAGTAAAAGTTGAAAACATGAAACTATAGTCAAATCATGCTCAAGAGGCAGATACTGAGATACGTATGTCAATATGTATAATAGATTGTAATTAATTATGTAAAACTAAGAGTAATGATTTAATTCAGCTGAAATAAATGATTAACCTTTTAGACCATAATTATAAATCTGACAAAGTATGCTAATTAGTTTAGTTACAAATAATTAACAGCGAATGAAATTCAAATAAAATAACAAAAGATAAAAAATATTTTAAAATGAAATCAAAAAAACACAAATAATGTAACACACAATTTTTGTTTGTTTACCAATGCCTTTCTATAAATACATTTCCATAAAATTCTAATAAATCTCGCGGAGACAACGGCTATTAATACTGGACAGTCCCCCAAACACCCTCTCCAAGAGGGAAGAAAAAGAAATAAAAAAATAGTAAAGGAACATTTTGTTTAAAAAAAAATGTAAAAACAAAAGCCAAAAAGTAAAGAAAAACACCAAATCAAGAAGTGAGAATTGTCGTTACCGTAAAAGGGTTTCAGAGTCCAAAGATTCAGTGAGAGTGAAATAA